CCTATTTTTCAGCAACACAACCATATCATAATTAATATTTTACATGTTTTCTCTTTGCTTTGAAGTCACATGTTGATTATACTATTCTTCATGATTTTTTTTAAATTTGTTGTAAGTTGAAGAGGTGTTTGTAATAGCTAAATTTTTTTTTAATGTATCATTATTTTCACATCACTGCATGCAACCTTTAGATTTCCCACTCACTTAAGTTTTATTTTAAGATGCTTGATGTTATGGTATATTGTGGTTTAACAGGCCATGCAGGTGAAGAGTACCAAAACAAACAATATAAAATAAGTGAATAAAAAAAAGTATTTAAACCATGGAAATAAAAAAATTAAAAAAAGAGGTTTTAATTACATTTAAAAGATTTATTTAGAACAAATTACCAATGAATGGAGAAACTTATAAACACTGAATTGAGAGAATTTCTATATTTCTCCATAATTCTTTTTTATTAAATTTATTTTTCTCTATTTTATAAATCATGAAAATTTTAAAGGTTTAGTCATAATAATCATATCAAAAACAGATTCATAAAGATATCAGATTCAAACATTCAGATATCAAACAGATAGATAAATCATATCAAAAACACATTCTTACTTCAAAGTTCCATGGTGGCCTGAAGGTCTTATGAAATTCTATGATTGAATCTTAAAACTGCTAATATGTTTTCCTCATTTTCCACCTAAAATATGAATATTTGAATAAAAAATAAAACATCAATAAAATCAGTATAGGAGAAGTCATAAAATTCCAACATTAAATATATAGAGGAAATATATGTTGAGAAAAATATCTGCATAATTTCATTTAAGTTTTTATGAAAGCAACACAATTCTAAGTTTATAAATAGCAACATTTTATTAGCTAATCTGTTCAGATGTAAACATCAATCTAATGTAGTTAAGTAATTTCAGAAAAAATAAAAAAATTTAAAAATTAATCAAGTATTTAAAATTAAAAATTCGGTTTTGAGATGAAGCGCAGTAAGTCAAATTTTATTTTCAATTTAAATTCTGTAACAAAAAGCGCCACTCTTTTCCCACAATATGAACAAAATACAAACTCTTAATCTTTTATTTATTATTATAAAATGTAGAGAAGTAAATAAAAATGCTAGAGAAGAAAATTTTCGGTTTTCAAAAAATATTTTCAGCTATTCAAAACTTTTACCAAATAAACTTTACTTTGCATAATTTTTGTAATAATATTACCTTGGAGAGATAAATTTAATTTTAATTAGAATATTATTTATAATTACGGGCTTACAAATCCTGGGCACACGGTTGCCTAAAAACTTACAGCCCAATATTTCAGTAAAATTTNATTAAATTTGAAAAATATTGTAATACACTGTGAAATATGTATGTTTCATGACAATTTATCATAATATTAAAATTCTAATTAGGTCTGATAAGTTATATTTTTAATAAATTGTCAATAAAATATTAGACAACAGACAGATTTTCATGCTTAAAATATTATATAACAAGAAGTAGAGTTCTCAAATTTAATTTTGAAATTATATGATCAAAATATGGAATATCCTATTTGCTAGTAAATTGATAAACATTTAATAAATCTCTAAAAACTTGAACGGACAAAAAACTGCAAATATATTTAAATAAAAAAAAGGTTATACACATTATTATTAAATAAAATGCCCAAGCTGAAGACATTAAACAAGCTTTGTAGCAGAGCAAAGAACAAATCAAGACAGCAACTTAAAAATAAAAAAACAGGACAAAATTTAGAACAGATTTGGAACAGCAGAGCATTTTTTGCAACAGTTAGTTAAAAAGTACAATTTACTCTACTTAATAGTAACAAAATAAAATTTCACAGCAAAAATTTACTTGTTCATAGCAAAAAGTTTTAACAGTTTCCAGAATAATTTTATCAACATGGAACAACAAATAATAATTCCAAATCAAAACATGGAAAAATTTGATGAGGCTGTTGCATTAAAAAAATGAACAGTATCAATTCGTCAATATTTTACTCATACCAATATATAATTCAAATGTGTAATTGAGTTGAAGATTTCTTTCATCTCCTTAAAGTAGGGTTTCAATAATCTCAAAACAAAAATGCAATGAATATGCCGCTTAACATTTATGTAGAACACTAATTTTAGTAAGCAATCCCCTAATTTATCATTTAAAAGTTTTATAACTGCTTGTTGACTGAAATCACATGAAAGAAAACAATCAATATTTGTGCAACTGAGAAATCTTACAAGATTTTTTATTGTATTTGGTGAAAATAATAAGTAAGCATATCATCCTTGAAATCGACATCATAAAAATTTGATGTTGCGAAATTGCTTATCAATTTTCCTTACCATTGAATGACTTAATTCCCAAAGAGGTTGAAACAATGAATCCTCTGGGTAAGACTCTAAATATCTAAACCATGTAAATAATCAATAGACAGTCCCTATATTGGAACTATCAAATATTGCGATTATGACAAGCATTTAAAAAAGAAAGAAAAAGGATATTGAATCAAAATTTTTCAATTCTTTAAATCTACTTTCTCAAAAATCTGCACTTTCATTACTGGAAAATCGAATATTCAATACACACAAAAAATTCAGGACAAATACGGATAAAATACTTTATATCAGGATCATCAGGACAATTACTAACCCTGATTTAATCTAATTTTAAAAACAGCAGTCCTGAATATAAAAACAAAGTGAGATCAAGCATAAATAGAGAAAACCTGATTATTCTGCCAAGACATTAAAATGAGGTTGATTTCATACACACACAACATAACCTACAGACATTATCAACAATGGGGTTATTTTTTTAAATACTGTTCAAATTTTGTTATCTTAAACCCATATCAATGACTATTAACTGTGTTCATTAAGTTCATCAGTTATGTAAACTAAATAATTGACAATGTATGAATAAAAAAAATATAAAAGAGTAAAGGAAAAAGATTTAGATTGGCTACCTTCATAAAAAAAAATACAGGATATATATAAAAATACGTACATTAAAATATACAAAATGACCCTTTGGCATGATATGAAAATACATACATGGGTGGCTTTTTCAGCATTGAACTGTGGTTCTCCATCCTCTAAAATTCTGATGAAAATTTTTATATCCTGATCCAAAAATGAAGGATATTGTGGATTACTAGTAATAGTCTGAAAAAATAAAAGGATACTTTTATTACAAAATTAAAACACTAATATTTTATTAAAATATTTTTTTTATTATTGTTAGTTAAACATCAATTCAAATTCTTTTGTTTCTATTTATTATTTAAAAAAATATTTTTATAAACATTGCACGCTTGATTTCAATGGTGTGCCTCTAGTCTTCAGGTTTCAAATTCAAAATGTAAAATTGCTGAGCTTTTATATAAATAATTCCTATGTTGAAAGATTAAGAGCACGTTATTCCGCTTATTACTATGAGAAAGAAAAAAAAACAGCTCACACCATTCTTAATTGACATTGACTAATGTTGATGCACATATTGGAATATTTCAAACTATTTTCATTAAATAATTAAGGGTATGCTTAGTGAAATGTTCATCACAGCCTTTTGTTTGTTTACGAACTGATTTCATAATTATGTAAAGCATCCGGTTGCCTATTTCTGCAAATGTTACTAACCCGTTCAAATGGAAGTACTCAATTTATAAAAAGCCATTGAAGGCCGGAATTACGTATAAGCTAAATAAGCTGTAGCTTCGGGCCCCGAGATGACAAGGGCACCCAGATCCTACTTACCCCCCTCTTTTTTTAAAGTTTTATTCGGGGCTGGAGCCCTCAGAAACCCAAAAGGCATTTTTTATCTTTTTTACATT